TGGGGGTGCAGGTGAGTGCTGTGCTCTGCAGCCATGAGGCTCCAGTGTTCCCCAGGATCTCCTTCCACATGAGCCTTGGAGACCATGCACGAGGCTTGGGAATGTATTACTCCAATGGCAACAGGTGTGAGCACGTGGAGGGTGCCCTGACCTGCCAAAGCACAGTGGGGACCACAGTCCTTCAGTGCCCAGGTGCTGTCACCATCCCCAGCCATCACCTGCAGTGAGGGTTGTGAGAGGTTTTGTGCTTTGTCCCTGGGATATTTTGATGTCAGGTGCACAACTTTCTTCCATCTTCTCTTTCCCAAGGAGCAGCTCCTCCTTCTGCAGGGTCCTTTGCCATCCCTGCATCCTGCCCAGCCCTACTGGGATGGCTGGTGGGATTTACCCTTGGGGCATGTCCCTATTGCCAGCCCTGGTCCTGTTGCTCCAGTCCTGTTGGCCAGTGGTGACAGATGGTGGAGCCAGTGATGGCATCAGGGCCTCTTATCTCAGAGCCTATTCCCAACTAATGCTGAGCCCCTGTTGGATCATGTTTGAGTGATTTAAGATGGAAAGAGGGTAAAAATGACCCTGGTGGAGCAGAGAACCTGGTGTGGGCAGGGACAGGCAGGGTGCAAGGCTGTACCCATGTTACCTGGTCCCACAGATTCACCTCTTCCTCGGGGTCTGAGTGCCCTGGGTGGGGTGTGGGGATGGGGATGCCCCTCCTGGCTCCACCAAGTCCTCTTTGTGCCTCGGTTTCCTTTTCAGCGGGGAGAGGAGGCAAAAACTTTTCGTTGTGATGAGGTACAGGATGTCAGCGCCGCGGCTGCGGTTGTGCAAGTCAGCGCAGGCCCCTCGGTGGAGGACGCCTTCATTCCCAGCACCTCTTTCATCTTCCTCTCCTCATCCCAGAGCAACCAGGGCAGGGCTTTGCCATCGCCAAACCCGCCGTGCCGGGACGCGTGCCGGGTTGGGCCAGTCCCTGGAGCCATCCAGGGGCCCCCCGAGCCCTCCAGGCCATCCCACTGACAGCGTTGTCTCGCCCCTGCCAGGTGTAGCGGTGCCTACGTGGGAGAGAGGTGCCACCTGCCCAACCCCTGCCTGAGCTCCCCCTGCAAGAATGCCGGCACCTGCACCGCCGTGGTACGCGGCGGCACCGCCGACTACACCTGCGCCTGCCGCCTGGGCTTCACCGACGAGCTGTGCCTCACGCCCCGCGATAACGTCTGCCTCAGCAACCCCTGCCGCAACGGGGGCACCTGCGACCTGCTCACGCTCAGCGAGTACAAGTGCCGCTGCCCACCCGGGTGG